TAAAATCGATTCCGAATCTAGATGCATCAATCGTAATTTTATTATCAAATACCTGTTACTATTTGTTTTGTATCATAATCACTCTCATTTCTCATTGGGAATTTAATTACGGTTTTACTATTTAAATTAAATATTAAACCGAAAGTTTGAAGTGACTAGCACCCCTCGGGATTCTTGAAGAGCATTGCCTCCAATCAATATATCAATGTCCTTACTTTTGCGGGCATTTGAAATAAAAATGTTAACAGTGCATACCCTCCCCCCAAAGCTACCTATGTGTATGAACGTGAATGCGAATCACGATGATTCTGCTTTTATTTTCAACACGGAAATCTTGGGCACGGTTTATGGAAGGTAGTCCTGTAACAACCAAGCGGAAATCACTCACAGGAATTTCGCTCTGGCACAGTTCAATCCTATCCGCGTGTGGATTCGTTTTCTTTTGATTTAAGCGACAATGATCACATACTCAAACAACGAACAAAGTTTGGTGGTACGCACTGATAACTCGTCGCACGTGATTCAACTTGAATAACCATGAGAGTTTCCATAAAGAAGCGAGGGCGTACATACGCATACACAGGCAGTGCATTCAATGAAATGTATCGATATGTGTACACTAAATAAAAGCAATAGCGTGTGTCTACCATGTTGTTATGAAACGTAATTCAGGAAGAAGCGTATTGTGTTGTTTCCAGTGACCGTATCAACCGGTGTTTTCTGCACCAAGAAGAAATACTCGAAAGAAACAAACGATTGCATGTTTGAAGCTTCAGCACTTCATACCGATGCACAGAAGTACTTTCTCAAGACAATTTATTTACTAGATGGTTCTGATTCTGATTCAATCTGTCAACTACACCACATCAACAGAGGAATCGTCTCCGACAGCTCGATCGATTGATATTTGACTACGTACAGTTACATTCGATTTATAATGCATTACTATTTTAATACAACGTTTTAACAGTCACTAAGTAATTCGTGAAGTGTCCAAATAAAGGAAAGAATGGTGTAGTACATTTGAAACAAAAGGAGGGTCAGATTTAAGTAAACTGAGAGGCTTTTATAAAGACAGCTTATACACGCTCTATGGTTACCACGATTTTCAGCTATAAAAATTCTTTGAAGATAATCAGATTAGTAAACGGTGATCTACAGTAATCGTTAATCCCTGTGAGTAAACATGGCGATTGTACAGCCACATCGGACTACCTTAAATAGGCAATAGGATATGGCTTCCATTCAGCCAACCAATCTGTTACAACCATACGCATTCAGTCAGGTTGGTTAAACGATATGGAGCTAACAGGAGCACCAGTCATACAGTGAATGCGCAAAAAGAATGGATAAACGTGTGAATGAGATGAAAGACATTTATTCGTGCGCCTCTGTAAACAGAATGAACTGCATCCACGGATCGTCTGGGTTCTACTTGACTTGGCTCTATTTACCAGGTTTTCAATCCAAATCCGAGCTTGAGTACTAAGTGGCTTCTGCAGTCATTGTTGCCAACAGTTGTGGTCAACGATCGATCCATTCAACTTTGGACAGAACTTTAGTAGGCTTATTTTTGCGAAACACTAGCTGTTGTGAAAACTTCTGTTAATCTGAGTAGGGATCTCTGTTTGCTTTGCTTTCGCATATCTTTTTACTGAAGTATGACTGTTATCGACGAAAATTGGTCGCGGTATAAATGTAATCCTATTTCGGATAGATTCGTTGTAACTACCCCTTTCGTAAACTCCAAACGGCAACAGCGAATGCTGACGCATTTCAAGTAAGGCAAAAATGATTGTCCTTGTTTTACTTTTTATTGATTAAATAATGATACAATTATTAGGAAGGGGGAAGCGGTCAATCAAAGNNNACGAAAATTTGCCGACGTTACCATTGGGCCACCACCACCCAGGTACAATTTTGCGACATATTAGGTTCTTTTCCAATCTTTTTCAGATGCATTTTTCCGTGATCGTCGTAATCAGTTTTGAAGTTTACTGATTTAATGAAATCCATGGCACTCCAGGAGATGTTCATTACAGCGAGAAACGCGTTTATTTCACGCATCTACTTCCCTGTTGTTTAGTTCCATTTTCCATTTCATCTTGTAGTAATATCCCAAAATGATTACCGCACTCCTCCCAGAAATGGAAGCACTTCTAAAACCTGAGGTGCTAGGAAAATGGGTTGTGGGCTTTTTATCACATAATCAGTTGCACGAAAATCAATCAGCAGGTTGCCACAACATTTAGGTTTTCTATAAGTTGTGAGGGCATATTACTTCAACATTAACCAGGATGAGGAATGAAAAACCACAAGAAACCTTCTATTAAAAGCCAGTAGGGTGAAGCTTATAGTTTAACGTCATCGAAGGATACACTGTTGTGACCGGGTCGATTGTCCTATATACTCAATCAGGCCGATGACCACTGGCAGAACAAATAACATGTAGGTGCAGTTTGCACCGCTTTTCCCTTGAAGCTCCAGCCAGAACACGTAACTATTTAGCCTCGATCCCAAATTCTTTAGCTGAAATCCGCAAATGTTTAACCTCAACCCTACGAACTGTTTGACAACTTTTTTTTCAAAACATCATCCGCATTAACAAAAAACGATACAATAAAGAAGTGATTGCTTAGCATTCCACATTTGGGTTAGAATAGGACTGCTTTTAGAGAAGTCGGAGGATAAGAAACAGTACAAAAAACACCTAAATTAGTGTGATCAGTTTATTCACGTTGCAATGTTTAACACGATTATGGCCGTCATTTGTGCAGCATACTTTCCCCACACCTCATATATTTATGAAGCTTTGTAAGATTAACTTTTGTGAAAAAAATTTAGCATTGTCGTTGACCTCAGAAGACCCCATACACATTATTCAGGCTCGCCTAGAGTGTCGTAGTTAAATCTGGTGCGTCGAGGCTAAAAACCACAGGTCGTCCCTGAAGAACTTCGGATTTGGTTAAAGGATTACGGATCAGGGGTGGTGGTGATGCTGTCACTGGCGTCCTTTGGATCATGTGGTCCGCCACCATCATCTAATTTTGGTGGTAGACAGCTTTGCTGTCGCCCAGTTCTATACCACATCTGACCTAGCAGGGCCTTAAGTGATTCGCCACTACAAGTCCCGGGGCTTAAGTTACCGGTTACCATTACTGAACAGCACGTCTTCGCGACTATGGGGTTCAACCCTGTCTGCTACCCGACATACACCGGTGTGTAATAAAAAAAGAATTACGGGCTTTGGCTAGAGCTTGATGGTAAAAGGTGTAGGCTGGTTTGAAGTCACCGTCATTTTAACTCCCGCAGGTAAAAAAAAATGGTGAAAATCGACAAGGTTTTGATTTCCAGTGTTGCTTTTTCGTCCCCTAACTGTGGTTAGAAATCAAATCTGCCTCAGCAGAGTTAATTGAGACGCTTGGCTCGGTATGTCCATTCCATTAACTGAAATGTAGGCTTTATGCCAACAGAAGTTAGTACAATACAATACATTACAATTCAAATTTCATGAAGCGTACAAGGTGTCTAATAGAACGCCTTCTGGGACAATAACGCCTTGCTCCGACAAACGGTAAGCAAATGGCACATTCCCAATGGGATTTATTGAGTGAACGAACAATTAAGTAAAGACCAGATTGGATCAGAAAATTTGTGATCATCGCTCACGTAAGTTGATTTTATTAATGCACGCGAAAGAGCTAATAGGAAGCATTTGGGCGAAAGCTCGAAGACAAACCAGTAGCCGTGCCGAACACCACTGGAAACGGCGAAAGGTGGCGAAAGTTGGACATAGGTCCTAACACGACCTGAGGTATGCCGATAGCACTCTTTGAGAATCGACACATACTTCTCACGTATTCTATCCCTCAACAAACAGTTCCATAATGCGGTCCCATCAACAGAGTCGAAGGTTCAGTCCAGTTCAGTTTGAACAACCATTAACCATGTACTTTCGTGCGTCGGTTTTGGTTGCTGTCTTTTGGCTGCCCATTTGGATGAATAATAAAAGAACAGGAAAGTTGAAGGCCGCGCGGATCACAATGATCATTGGTCTTTAATAGGTATGACGGTGCTCTACCAGCTGTCGGAAGGTGAAGATTTGATCGATGCATTCATGAACGGCGCAAACCCAGCCTGCTACTCGCGGATCTGCTCCTCACGCATAGTGTACAATCGGTAGAGAATGGCGGACGCCAACAGCTTGGACGCTATCGAGATCAGGCTTATATCGCTATGATTGGCGCAGTTCCTGTACGGGCTCTTTTTCAAGATGGGGACAACAATCGATTACCCTCAAGAAAAGGGGAAGAAATCAAACGAATAAAATGAAACCACGGGAATGTCATTGGTCTAGCATGCGTTAATCAACCGGTATTTGTGCTCCTCAATTCATAGTATTCCTAAATGGACTACGGAAAATTTTAATTGGTCAAAGTCACAGTATCCCCATCAATTTTGGGGAATTCGTAATGCACATCTCCATGAGCCTTAGATCGCTAACCAAACTCCCCCAAATTTTCAGGATTTGACGAAGACTTCTCGTTTTCCCAAGGAAACAAACAGAAAAGAAATTTACGTTAAACTGGAATGTAATGTGACTTTGAACTTCAAAAATTATCAGATGGGCATTGCGGTTACAACCAATGCTCGATTTTATTAATATTATTGAAGACACCACATGACTTTGGTTATTGAGGGCGCTCATCATGATGGAAGAATGCATTCTAATAAAAATCAAGACACTCAATAAATTGCATGGGAGAATAAACTAAAGCTAAAGACTTTTTAACTGAGCATTATTTTAAATTGTCATTTTACCTAGGGTGAGATGTTTTTGGTGTCTTCAGGATCAGGGCTTCTGGAAATGACGATTGGGGATTACGCTCCATGTAAGTGGTCGACTAATTGGACCACGTGACCTGATTTAAAGCTATATATATTATCGATTCTTCACCTGTCATCAAACCTGCAGATAGAGTGTACTCGATCCGGCCCACATGCGCCAACCTTCCGGCTGGACCAAAACATTCTGTGGACTCACCTCTATGGGAGATACAGAGGGCAAAAATGGTGATGCAAGTGTACCAGCCGATGGAAGTTTCTTTTTTATCGGTGAAACTGAACCCGGACGACCTATACCGGAGAGATTAAGAGAACGTTTACAAAAAAAACCGGAACTTCCAAATTTCTTGGAGCGAGAAAAAGAACGTGACAAACGCGTGCAAGAGATGAGAAAGCAGAAACTGGACAAACTGCGTGAGCACCACGAAAAGGTTCGCCGGCTCTCTGAGCAAGCAAAAGAGAGAAAGAGGTTGCAAGAAGAAAAGGCTGGTTTGCTGGAAACAAATGTTGCCGATTGCACGGAAGAAAATTCACCAAATTCGATATAGTCACAAAAAGGATTTGGGCTTACGCTTCAAGAAGCAGTTATTCATTTTTTATCAACTTATTTTATTTCTCGTGACTGGAAACTTCCAGGCCACAATCTCATGTGATTATTTTACTTTCGGCTTTTGCTTTGTTTTTATGATTTTGCTTTATTTATAAATACGTTTGCAGTGAGTTTTGTCGATTGCGATAAATTTGTTACCTGTCGGTAGTCACATAATTGGAAAAAAAGGTCCGGTCGAGACATTATTCTTGCCTCATTCGTACACTGAAAATGAAAGGAAAACTAACTTCAGGTTGGATCAGTTGAGTTCATACCATCCTCAGGTATACACTACTGTGCACTGACTTGTGCTGTTGCTTCTCGATTATACATTTGAACAACCGATGATAAACTGAGTAAATGAAAGAAGCCAAGGGTTCACATCAGTATCAAAATGTGGGTTCACTAGATGGTCTGAAGTCAGACTGTGCCAAACAAATCATCTTACAGTAATTTTAGCCTTCTTAAAACAAATCTACCTCGGAAAGCGTCGAGAGTCTACCTGATGGGAAGCGTCAATCGGATACCACAACATGCTTTAGCGGCAGCAATCTACGGAGGTAAAGCACTTCATTTGGGCACGATTGCAAATGTTCTGAGATACTACTCACTTGTGAGCAATATGTATCATAGTTGGTGATTTCTTTCTTACTCCGCAGTTTGACTTCAGGGATGCCACTTCTTCTGTTAGCTTTATCAGGGCTTCCGTAGCATCCTGTACCGGCCGACTTTTCGGGACTTCGTGAGTTTGGGGAGCCGAAATTTCATGATCGGTTAACTGTCTCACAGCTTCAACCAACGTGAATACATCCATGGCGCTACCCGATTCGCGCCTTTTCCCGCAGTGTCCAGCAAACTCTCCACGAGACGCTCCAGCAATAATTCCGAGCGAACAAAGTCGTTCAAATTTGGCAGCGCTCGATCCAACAGGATGCGCAGGGACACCGCGTGCGACAGACGGTATAGGCCAACTCCGAGCTGCGCCGTCTGGAAGTTCCGTAACGCCTTCTGGCGGTCGGCCGGGGTGTCGAAACCCGTGACCAGGGCGTCCTTCGCGGCGGCCCACTCCACCTTCTCTGACCCCCGCGCCGCATACAACACCACCCGCACCCGGCCCTTGAGAAACGCTCGGAGGGCCGTCAACTGACCCCGGTCCGACCGTAATCCCGCCACCTCCGCGACGTCCTCGAAATCCTCCAGAAACGTCCGTGCTTAGTCATCCTCGAAGTCGTCAGGCCACGATACCTTCATCTTGATCCTGACGAAGGCACAAATTGTTATAATTTCAAAAGGCGGTGCTGGTCGATGACTGAGGATTTTAGGTAGGAAATTTGCCATACATAACACAAAACATCTCATCAGAAACATACCATCATCGTTCCTGGCAGCACACCGGGTAAGCATGCGGCAGCCGATAGTTATTCTTTCAGACACATCAGTTGGCCCCGGTGGTCTTGTTATATTTTTGATCATTGAAAGAAACTATCAACTATGGTACATACTA